TTCCAGCTACTTGGAAGAATGAGGCAGAAGGATTTTCTGAGCCCAGCAGGTTGAGGCTATGTTGGCCGTGAGTGTGCCACTGCACTCCTGCCTGGGCGACAGAGTGAGACTCCTACTCAAACAAACAAACAAATAAAAAAACAATACAGGAGTCCCAACCCAACCCCCCCATCTCTCATGGTATGGCCCATGGACTGTTAGGAACCCATCAGCACAGCAGGAAGTGCTGGGATTACAGGCTTGAGCTACCGCACCAGGCCCTAGACCGTTTTTATCTTACTTTGCCACAATCTTTTTTTTTTTTAGTTGGAATCTCACTCTGTCGCCCAGACTGGAGTGCAGTGGCCGCTCCTGGCCACCGCAGCCTCGACCTGCTGGGCTCCAGCGATCCTTCCGCCTCAGCCTTCCGATTAGCCAGAATTATAGGCTTGCATTACTACGCCCGGCTGATTTTTTGATTTATTGTAGAGATGAGGTCTCGCTGCCCAGGCGGGTCTCGAACCCGCGGGCTCAGGCAATCCACTCACCTCAGCCTCCCAAAGGCGCGGGATTACAGGCTGAGCCACCGAGCCCGGTTTGCCACAATCTTTTATGGAGATTTATCTTGCCAAGATTACCAATGATGTTCTAGATCTTCAATTCAGAAGCTTCTTTTCAGTCTGAATCCCTCAGGATTGCTCTGTCAAAGCACCTTCTTCACACTTGGTTCTCTGCGCTTCATGGATCATGGATCATAGATCTCTCTCTCTCTCTCTCTCTCCCCTCTTCCCTCCTGCTTCCCCCTCAACACTTGAATTGATCTGTTTGCATGTCTACTTTTTCCTCCATCCATTTGTAAGCCCCTGTGTGTCTTCTTCATTTGTATTTCTAGTCCCCATCCTAGTGTTTGGCACACAATAAATTATGGTCTTAGCCGGGCTTGGTGGCTCAGCCTGTAATCCCGCGCCTTTGGGAGGCTGAGGTGAGTGGATTGCCTGAGCCCGCAGGTTCGAGACCTGCCTGGGCAACTTGGTGAGACCTCATCTCTACAATAAATCAAAAATTAACCAGGCGTGATAGTACGCGCCTGTAGTTCTGGCTACTCGGAAGGCTGAGGCAGAAGGATCGCCGGAGCCCAGCAGGTCGAGGCTGCGGTGGCCGGGAGCGGCCACTGCACTCCAGTCTGGGCGACAGAGTGAGACTCCAACTCAAAAAAAAAAAAAAAAAATTATGGTCTTAATAATTATGAATGTTAACTATGTAATTACAATTATGGAATCAGATTGAACTCTTTCATTTTTGAATACTTTGTTTACTTTAGGTCTTCTTCAGTCTTGTGGTTTAACTTTTTGTTTTAACATGGTGGAACTCTTTATTTTTCCAAATAGTTCTGTAAAAATGGACCTCATGTGAATCCATCACAATTTTTCTGATTCTTTTGATATTTTCTGTCATACTATCCATGGATGAATGTATTCCTTGAACCTCATTCAAATGTACTACACATATTCTGGATAATTTCATTCTAGAAGCTACACACAGGGCTTCTCAGATTTCTTCATGTCAATGTCACATATAGAAAATAAACTCATGTGGCACACTGGGGCCAGTTTGAGGGATTTAGGGGTATCTTACATGGGTCCTAATTAAAATAATCATGTCAGCCAGGCTCGGTGGCTCAGCCTGTAATCCTGCACTTTGAGAGGCCGAGGTGATTAGATTGCCTGAGCCTGCGGGTTCGAGACCTGCCTGGGCAACTTGGCGAGACCTCATCTCTACAATAAACCAAAAATTAGCCGGGTGTGGTAGCGCGCACCTGTAGTTCCAGCTACTTGGAAAGCTGAGGCAAAAGGATCACCTGAACCCAGCAGGTCATGGCTGCGGTAGTTGTGAGTGTGCCACTGCACTCCAGCCTGGGCAACCGAGTGCGAATCCGACTTAAAAAAAAAAAAAAAAAGAAAGAAAGACATAGAAATAAAGACCCAGAGGCAGGGTTTAGAAGTTTAGGTGGAAAATTGAGTATGGTGACTTACACCTGTAATCCCAGCACTTTGGGAGGCAGAGGAGAAAGGATTGCCTGAGTCCAGGGGTTTGAGACCAGACTGGGAAACTTGGCAAGACCTCGTCTTGACAATAAATTAAAAAATTAGCTGGGCATGGTGGCGTGCACCTGTAGTTCCAGCTACTTGGAAGACTGAGATGGAAGGATTGCCTGAGCCCAGCAGGTCAAGGCTGTGGTGGCCATGTGCATGCCACTGCACTCCAGGCTGGACGACAGAGTGAGACTCGGACTCAAAAAAAAAAAAAAAAAAAAGAAGTTTAGGTGGGACTTGGTAGTGGATGAAGCTTGTTGGACAGGGGCAAAGGCATTGGGAAGAGTTAAGGTACTTTGAGATATGTAGTTTGGACAACTAGACTGCTGTTAGTTGCACTGAGCAGTGAAAGCAGGAGCGGGGTAGGTTAAGAAGGAAGAGATATGATGCTTTATTGAAACTGCTTGCAGTGCATCTAGGGAGAGTCAGGCAGCCTTAGCTCATAAAATATGCATCAGGATTTAAAAGCGTGCATTTGGGAATTGTGGCATTCACTGATGACTGAAGCCCAAAAGGTGGGTCAGAATGAGTTACTCCGAAGAATATGGAATGGGTAGATGGGAACAAGGGGAGAGTATGAAGGTGCCTGAAAACAAGCAATCAGAGAGAGGGGAGATTAAGAGAGAGAGAGAGATGCCTGGAAGTCCAGAGACAATTGTAATCATTTAACATTCATCATTTTGGGGGGGACGTTTTATAGAAATTTAATATTTATTGCATTTTATTTCATGCATTGCTTTTATGACAATTATATAATATAAATAAAACTGTTTTTTTTTTTTGAGTTGGAGTCTCACTCTGTTGCCCAGGCTGGAGGGCGGTGCCACCATGACCAGCTAATTTATTTTTTTTAATTTATTGTAGAGACGAGGTCTTGCCATGTTGCTCAGGCTTGTCTCGAACCCCTGAGTTCAGGCAATTCCCTTGCCTCCCTTCCAAAGTGCTGGGATTTACAGGCTTGAGCCACCACACCCAGCCTTCTCCTATTTCTTCCACCTGGACTTCGCCCTCCCAACTCCGCAGTAAATCCTATTCATTCTTTTCAATTCAGAAAAATGACTGACTTCAATGAATTGTTGCTCCTCTGAGTTCTACATAGTTTGATGCTAGCTTTTGTTTTCTTTTGCTGTCTTTGTTTTGTTTTGTTTTTTTGAGACAGAGTCTCACTCTGCTGCCCAGGCTGGAGTGCAATGGCACCATCATGGCTCACCACAGTCTCAATCTCCACCTCAGCTTCCTCAGTAGCTGGGACTCAGGCATGCGCCACCAGGCCTGGCTAACTTTTTTGGGGGTTTTTTTGTTTATTTCTTTCTTTTTTTTTTTTTGTAAAGACAAGGTCTTACTATGTTGCCCAGGCTGGGCTCAAACTCCTGAACTCAAGCAATCGTCCCGCCTCGGCCTCCCAAAGTTCTGGGATTACAGCTGTGAGCCACCGCACCC